TTTTTTTTTTGTATTTTCCCTATTTTCATTATGATTCTTCTCTGTGTTTTTATTCTCTCTTCTTCAGCCTGTGACTGCTGAGGAGCTTAGGAGTTCTCGACATGTCCCCTGCCCTTCATCTCCCTCTCTTTCACAATCCTACCCGTCTGTCCTCCTTTGTAAATCAGTTTTTAAAACATGGGTGGGTGGCCTTAAAATGCTACAGGAACAATTCGTTACTAGGAGATCTGGGAGCGGGTGAAGCCACGGTGAAGCTGGTTTATTCTGAGTAGCAGGCTTCTGAAGTGTGTGGGGGCAGATGGCTGACTGACGTCGCTAGGTGGCAGTATTCCAGGTCGGATTCCAATCACAGAGCTGTGGCCTGCCTCCCCGCCCCCAGTCCTGCCTGTTAATGTCCTATATAGCGATTTTGATTCAGAAATTTTCTTAGTTGTCTGCAGCCTCTGCATTTGAAATCGAGGACATGCCACATCAATTCTCAAAAATAACGTAATGTAAGCCTCAACTAGAGAGGAAATGCTTTCATAGATTTGTCTTTTTTTTTTCTTGCATAAAAAATTACAAATTTAAAGACCTTCACATATAAATTTTCAGACCAATGAAATTCCAAAGACTAGTACAACATATTGTTTATGAAGTAGAATGTATTAATCTATTAATACTAATTTAACTAATTAATGTATTTTATGCAAACATGCCTTTCAAGACTGCCAAAGGTTAAATATTTGATTACATTAGTAATCCATAGAATGTCCCATTAGGTACAGGAGACATAGCTGCTGCTTTTTGCCATGTTGCACACGTTCAGTTTTAGGAACTTGCCTGCTTCACAGTGTACTACCTAGGAGACATTTAAAAAGCATTAAGACATTACGAAACCTTACCCTACCTTTGTTTCCCCATCTGTAAATGGAGGTTTTGAGTGACATACTGCTCATGAAAAAATTCTAGAGCTTAAATGGGGTCATATGGATAAAAACAAATTTACAACCCTATCTGACATACCAAAAAGTCTTAGCTTAGTTTCTCTGAGTTCAAAAAATAACCGTACACTACTATTTATCTTTAGTATGTGCATATATATGTATATATATATGTATATGTTATGTATATGTGAGCAGTACACCTTTGTCGACATGGGTATCAGCCTTTCAAATAAAGACCTTATGATCGCCCAATAGGCAGTTTACAGACTGACCCATACTCTTCAGCCCCAAGATAACTAATGACTTATTATTTTATTTGCATTTTTAAATTATGATAAAACTACATTATTTCTTCCTTCCCTTTCCTCCCTCCATACTCTTATATATACCTCTCCTTTGCAATATTTCAAATTCATGGCCTCTTTTTCATTAATCATTGTTACTCATAATATCTGTTTTTAAGCACTTGACTGGGATGAAATCAAAGGTTTCCATGTTCCACGTACAGTGCTTTGCAAGATTTAGTATTTTTTATTTTTATGTCAGTGCCTCCACGGACATATGTGCACCGCACATGCAATTGGTGCTCAGTGAGGTCAGAGGGGGACATCAGATTCCCTGGAACTGGAGTTACCAGAGGTTGCACGCTGAGAACCAAACCCAGGTCTTCTGCAAAAGCAACAAGAGCTCTCCGCTGCTGAACCATCTCTCCAGCCATCTCTCTTGTAAATCTTAAAGGGTCCAGATGAGCTCAGGGGCTGGGGTGGGGAAGAGAAGCCCAGAACTCTATGGAAGGAAAGCAGCATGTGTGAGAGAAAGGACACACTTCCAGATGAAGATATTTCAGTTGAAACTAGAGCTTCAGAATACTTGAATGCATGTCCAGGTGAAAAGGAATGTTCAGGACAGCTTCTTGCAGAGGGATGGCATCCACTTATCCTGATAAGAATGGCTAAGAAGGAAATATTGGCATTATTCAAGAACTGGGTCATTTTTCCTTAATGCTCACAGGTGTCTGTGAATAATTCATTTCGATTCTCCATGAAGCACAAGGAAAAGAATCATTTCAAGGGCCAAGAAAAAGCTATTACGCTCTGGCCTACTGAAGTGTGACTGCGAACTCATGAAACAAATTTTTAAACAAAATGTGACATGAATCTTTCCTCAGATAATGCGCTGCTCTCCTTCCTATAAAATACTACTAAATATTTTTTAAGAAAGAAAGCATTCCTGAACTATGCCTGCCAACAGTAGGGGTGGGTTTGTACTGGCTCGCCTGTTATTCCCTCCGTGGGGCCAACTCTGTGAATGTGCAAATCTGCTTGACATGGGCTGGACGACTGATGGATGGAGGACACACTCAGGGGCTGGTCACAAAATGACGTTCTGGATTTTGAGAGCAATAAAAACTAGGATTAAAGGCCATCCTTTTCAAAAGCTATTTACAATAAGCTAGCCATAGGATTTTGTCCCCGGAATGAGATCAGGAGGGTTTGTGTGTGGAGGGAATGAGTGCTCTTCAACCTCTAGTCCAAACGTGTGACCTCAATTTCTAAAATGGATAAAACAAACTTCCTTTAACATGTAAAACCTGAACTTGTTTTGTCCTTAAATTTTATTTTTCTTTTCTTGTTTTTTGGGGTTTTGTTTGTTTGTTGTTTTTTGTTTCTGCTGCTGCTGTTTGCTTTTGATTTGCTTGTTTGCAGAGAACCTTTGGAAGCTCTGTGTTAGGATCCATGAAAAAGTTTTATGTACTTTTTTATTTATAGATCTTCGTATTATTAAATTTGGAGCCACATCAGAAGATTCTGACCATAATTGGCTCATTTTTCTATTTCCTTACCTATTGGAATTTCCAATTTTGATTTGATTTGAAAAATAATTTCTCAATTTTGATTTAAAAATAGTTTTAACCACAAAATCTTTGCTGTTATGGTACGCAGTCTTCAGTGACTGTGGCACTCTTATGACCAATGGAAAGAAACCCTGTCCCCATGGAAGTGAAACTGTGCCGCATGGAGGTGTAGGTCGTTAGTAAGATTCGAGACTTCTGTGGCAATAACCGTCCTCACGAGAGACATCTGGCTGTGTTCATGAGGACACTTTTGTTTCCAAATGAAAATTTGCTTCTTTGGCAGTTTCCATAATGGGAAAAAAATTCTTTCCTCTTGTTTGGCTGCAGTAATTTTAAGATGTCCCATGGGTGTTGATGTTAAGTAACACACAATGAACTGTAACTAGCATGTTGTTCAGAGCATACACTGATAGGATTTCTTTTTTAAAAAATCTTAATGTTTCTTTTCTATTTATAATTTCAAATCTTCATAAAATAAATTAAGAACATAAATTTCTTTACAGTGAACTGAACTGCTCTTTTTTGCTATGATAGATCATTAAACATGCCATTCACTTACCAGTGGACATTTTTCCATTTAGTCGATTGACATTAATTTAATTTGCATTCTCTTTCTGCAGCTAGATATATTAATGCTCCTCTGAACAGTATTGATAATTGGCTGAAAAAGGTAAGAGTAATGTTTATTCAAGATAATTGATGAAATAATTTGCCTAACTTAAGGAAACTAAACACTATGAATAACTGAATCTATATACAAGTCACAGAAGAGGGTCTGAATCTACCTCTGGGATTTATTTTATTTTCAGTGCTTAGAGATACATTCAACCTTAATTGGTCTGGGAAAATGCCATATAATTTTAAGTTAACCAGCTTGCTGTAAATGTGTTTTGGGTGTAAGCAAAGGAAAATCTTTTTGAAATACTTTTTTTAAAAAAATGAAAGAGAGAGTGCCTCAGAAATACAGAACAATGAGTTTAGCAAACTTAAAGCAGAGGAGGAAATCTGTTTACAAATCCTTTCAGGAAAGATGTGTTTCTGCAAGGCATGGAGACTTTGACGTGCTATGCAAGTGTGAAGCCTCAAGGGTCTCTGTATGGATGCAAAGTGATTAAGTTGAGCACTTACCGTAATTGCTTTCTACCATTTAGTCCAGGAATGATTAAAGTCGGAGTAGTGCCCTTTGGGTAGCAAGAGGGTCAAGCGTATTCCCAGCTACAGGGTTTCCTTTTCTAAGCCTCCTGCCGTGCAGCTCCCTGTCCATATTAACACTCTCCGACTCCAGAATTAACCTAAGTAGAGGCTGACATTCCATCATCTGTCTCTCTTCTAACTTCCGGAACCCACGCTTAGAGTTGAAGGATAGTGGGGGAAAGTCTTTAACAACTCCATGAGGTACAGGGGAAAAAACTGAAGCTTGATGAAGTGTGGGCCATCTGAGATAAACCTGAGAGGAATGTTTCCACAGTCCCTTCCTGTTGGCCGGGGGATGGTTCCCACAAAGCATTCGCTATCAGTCACCTGAAGTATTTCCCCTACATGGAGTTTCACAACCCAAAGACTCGCTCATTTGCAGTAGTTTCGCCCACACTGCCCCTCCCTCCTCCCATTTGGATTGCTGCAAACCCTTGCTTCTCCTCTGAGCAACTTTTTTACTTGGTTTTTTGGGGACTTCACAGGAAAGAGGGCAAGGGACTCAAAGTGCTGGACTTTGTTTTTTAACTTTCCACTAAAACCAGACAAAGCCATATGATTCTGATGTAATCAATGCCCACTTCTCTCATTTTGTGACCCTGATGAAAGAATTTCAACTTAAAAGGAAGAACCCTACTGATATAGTCATTACAGCCTTGTGGTACTTTCCCATTTTAATTCCCAATTGGTTGCCATGACTTCGTGGCTTTACTATAATATCTCATAAAGTTCAAACAAAATGAACATCTCAACAACGCCTGCAACGGAGCACTGGTATGTTTGGAATACGATCTAATTCATTTAATCCTGCCCATTCTGCTAGTAATGTCTAGTCCCATCTTCAGGGCATGAAATAGATCCACTCAACTATTCAGGTCTTCCTTCCTGCTTGGACCCACATGTGAATGATCTCATTCACAACTGGACACAGTAGAGCAAGGCAGCAAACCCTGCATTCAAAATGTAGAGTCTAGATGATCAGTACTTCAAAGACAACTAAACTACATAGTGAATTACAGCATGAAATCAAGATCAGCCTGAGCTACTTGGGGGGGAAGGCGTGTTGTTGTTCTTGCTTTCTGTACTTACCATAAAAGGACATTCTGAATATTCCATCTCTGCCAAATATGATGTTTTTCTTTCTTTTATCATTTCTTTTTCTAAGTTTCCTTTTTGTGTGGATATGTGTGTGTGTAGTATGTGTGGAATGTGATCCTGGAAGCAAAGCCAGAAGATATCCAGGATCTTGCTTTATTATTTTCCATTTTTCTTCCCTTGAGACAGGGTATCTCACTAAACCCGGAGCTAAACTGGCAGCCAACAAGCCCCAGCTATCCTCCAGAGGTGACAGGCACAGGCATGTGTGACAAGGCCTAGGTGGTCTCGTGGATTCTGGGGTTTTAAATACAAGACCTCATGCTTGGGGAAGCAAGCATTCTACCCACTGAACAATCTCCTAAAAGGAAAGAGGAGTTTTTCAATAGCATGTGATCCAGTGTATACAGCATCTCTTCAGCTTGGAAAAAAACCAGGCTTCATTCTCTACTCCTCTGTAGCCATGGCAAGGACAGCTTTGATTCAAAGGAGTCCTGACAAAGATGCTCCATCTTTTCGTCCTATTTTAGGTTTTTAGAGACGGCACATTTTCTGACTATGGTTTTCTTCCTTGATCTTTTTTGCACACCACTTATGAATTTTTTTGCATGACTCACTGAACAGCAAATCTTAGTAAACTCAAGTTTTCCCTAATAAAAAGATAAAGTTGCCCTATACCATCATACTGAGAGAGGACAAAGACAATGAAAAGCAGTCATTGAAACGAACCGACTTCTGAAGGAAAGGTGTCAAAGCAATTACCAACAACCGCACGACATTTCTTTAATGTTCTCAGCATGACCGGGTAATTACAGCACTTGAATTTTTGTCAATGCTCTTAAAGAAACTGAAACAATATTTCACATCCTAAACCGCTCGAGTTTGCTGAAAGTAAAAACATGAAGGCAGATACTATGCTTTAATAATATCTATGATTCCTGCTAGGATAAAAATACACAAGAATATCCAGGCATCAACTGGAGAGAGGGCTTCTGGGAAATAGGAGCATTCAGGAGAAGAGAGAGCTAAACTGGACGGCTATTCTGGGCTTGAACTCCATGAGCCATTATAGTTATCTTTCTTCTTTGCCAGTACCTCCTCTCTCTGTCTCTCTCTCTGTCTCTGTCTCTGTCTCTGTCTCTGTCTCTCTCTCTCTCTCTCTCTCTCTCTGAGTGTATCTGTCTGATTGTCTATCTGTCTCTGTCTTTCTCTTTCCTCCCCCACCCCCTATCAAGAATTGTAGAACCAGACCCAGCAACTCCAGTCAGAATGAGCTCTGACTTTAAAAGAGGTGACATTAAGCTTTTCTCAGCCCTTGCCCTATGGCATTTGCCCAGTAGCTGGATTTCCAAGAATAGCTATTTTCTGTCTTTCTCAATCCCTGCTCCCGAGGGAAACCACAGAGTAGAAACTCTTCTGGTCCTTGGGTTGTTTCAAGAAGCAGGAAACTGCTTGCTTTGGTTTTGTCCCGTGTCTTCTTTCATTCAAACGAACTCGTGAATCTCAACTCACACAAGCCAAATGCCCACCGGACACATCAGTAAGATTCTCCTCTGTAACATGAATGGAAACTGGAGTTAAAAACAAAGGCCACGTGACCTCTAGGAAGTATATTTGGTTGAATGACAGGTAGGGCAATTGAGAACTGAGCGGGTGCCTCAGTCTTGGATTTCAAATATGGCTTCGGGTCACAATTGATGTTATTTACTATTGAAAGGAACTCTTTAATGGTGCCTCTTGGACCGGCTCTCAAGGAAACTTAAAGAGGAAAACAGAATATTTCTGAAAATTAATTCGTAATGGAAAATGAAAAGCAGAATAGGAACTCAGCAAAAAATCTGCAGCTTCATCCAGCCTTGAACACTAACAGGGCGAAAACCACCCTTCAAGGAAATTGATTTTGCCATTTGATTCAAATTAGAATATTTATGGATATATCCACAAACGTGAGGGTGAAAAATGAGTCCTATAATCTTTTTTAATCAGTCAATCTAAACTTTCACCCACTGTAGCAGCAAGAAGAGTTCAGTAGAAAACCACACAGTTAAGCTCCCCAGAACGCAGGTAAACCGGAGGCAGCAACGCCCATCTGTACGGCAAATGTGCCCACAGTAAATGAGACATGAAGTCAGAAGAGTCTTCCCAGAAGTCCCCAGGCCTGTCAGTTTCTCAAAGGCAGCAGTGAACAAGAAGTGGGCCCACCTCAAAACAAAATAGAAGATGAGAATCGATGTTTGAGGATGTCCTCTGACCTCTACACATCTGTTAGGACACATGTGCCTATACTCAAACATATGAGCATACACACATATGCAAGAAGAAGAGGAGGTGGGAGGGAAGGAGGGAGGGAAGGAAGGGAACAAAAGGGCAAGGAAAAGAAAAGAAAAATCATTGTTGGCATCCAAAACCCATCTAGAAAATTCGCTCATAATATATTCATCTGGATGGGGCACCTAGATTACATCTGGAAAGATCTGTATGCTCCAAAAGCCAACATTCCCAAGGGTCTGGATATTCATTAACACAAGGACATCTTCCGGGAATGCGCAGGGACATTTTTCAGCTCGATCCAGTTGTATCGAACAGCAGCCCCTTAAAGTCCCGAAATGTCATTCACTCTCCCCCCACCCCCACGGTCTGTACACTATTAGCAGCTGGAATGCTTCCCTTTGAAGGTTAAAAAACACAGCATTAAAATACTTTGTCGTCATCATCTTACGCGAAAAAAAAAAAAGCTAACATTTATCAAGCTTGGTATAATTGTTACCTCAAAAGCCTCAGGTTCCCAACACAGAAAACATGATGTCATGATGTCATTATTCACTTTTTCAATAACAGATCTGCCTCCTTGCTCTGTGAACTGCAGACACTGAAGCTACATCCCAAGGTGGGGAAAGAATCTACTTGTTTCTGGACCTCTGCCTTGGGGAAAAAATGAGAGGATTTCCCTGTGCTTCACAAGTTAGTAGCTCAGCTAGGGATATTCCATGAAGCTCCAGTATCTCTCCACATGGAAGGCAGGCAACTCAAAGACAAACTGCTTGCAATCCTGAAAGAAATATATGATAATATGCTTGTGAGACGACATGGAAACCAGAGCTACATGAGGGAGCTGCTCTGTTTTGACTCACACGTGTTTTCAAGTAAGCTTCCTCCTGGCCATTTAAGCTAAGCTTCACGGCGTGTCATCTTTTTCCTCTGGACTTTTCTGCTTAGCCTATGCCGTGGTTAAGACGGAAGGGAGCTAAACATGCCGACTCAAGTCAAAGAAAGCTGAAGTTTGAAGTCATGTGCGTCTTTTCCCAGTTGTGAAATCATGAACAAACACCCAAGTCACCTTTGTATATTTGTTCGTGATATGTAAAACAAATGTGTTTGCTC